TTTGTAGACAGACCACAACACCAACAAACACAGGAAAATGTTCCAATATTTTCAATGACTGGTAAAGATTACAGAAAATTTCCTTACGGGTGTTGAAAGAATTTAGCTTCTTCAGTAAATGGATTCTCCTCAGGCTTTAGGGGTTCTATGTTGGGGCTGTTTGCCACTAAATACATTACTGACTGACTGACTGACTGACTGACTGACTGACTGACTGACTGACTGACTGACTTACTTACTTAGTTATTTATTTACTTACTTACTGACTTACTGACTGACTGACTTACTTACTTACTTACTTACTTACTTACTTACTTACTTACTTACTTACTTACTTACTTACTTATCTCATAAAATTACACCATGTACATTTCAGTGAGGCTATAATAATAATTATTATTATTTTAAACAAGTTTGTTGCTGTGTTTGTTATTTTTCTGTTTTGTTTTCTCTCTTTATGCAGGTGTAGAGGCAGACTTCAAATGTGTTGTCCTGTGTTTTCTCTTTGCTTCTTACTCTTCTCTACCATAATATCTCGTTGTTTCCCTTTTAATGTCTTTATTAAAAAAACACTGAGTAAAACTCTTTTACTTAAAAAATTAAGTGGATTCTGTGCTGACCTCACTTGAGAGTAAAGTCAGTGTCCATTTCGGTTTAATTTGTAATCAAATATTGKTCCTAAATATTTGTGTGAATTCAGAATGTTGACCTTTTTTCCATGAATAGAGCTGAGTTTTGAAGATTAAAGCAATTTCTGAGATAGCACCACTAAAATCTATTTACATGCAGAAGAGTATTTTGCAAATATGTAAAATACGTAGTTTTCATGACAATATGACATGACATAGATTATCTGATAATCTAAACTGCTCTAGAAGTATGATAAGCACTGAAAACAAATACACACTTTCAGAATGTTCTCATTCAGTAACAGCCAGATCTAAAAAGTGTACATTTTATATCCCATTTGTTCTACTTTGCAACATTTAAACATGGTTAAAAAATGCTACTGCACAAGTAGGTATTTTGCAATGCATTGTGGTCTAGATAGGTTCATGCCTRCTTCCAGTTTGTTGAAATATAATTAGGATATGTTCACACTGCAGGAAAATACGTCCTACATCKGATTTTGTCCTCATGCCACTCATATTGAGTTTTTAGTCTAAAGTGTTCATATATTTCAGCTGAGCTCTGCAGTCATTCAAACATCCAGCAACACTGCAATTTGAGATTTTGCTATCACAATGTAAGATACAAAAAAAGATTCTAACTTTATAAAAAGGCCTAAGTTTGTTTATAAAAGTCAATAAAAAGCAGGTTCWAAAAGGGTTGACTGCCAGTGCTCAATGGTATAACTGTAAAAAGATCAATCCTGAGCAACACATGGGCAACAGGAAAAGGAATGTCTTTTTAAATTAAACTCTGTCTTCACAGGAGTGCAGTGATCCATGCTGCAATGCCACTACGTGCATGCTGACAACAGGCTCACAGTGTGCAGAGGGCGAGTGCTGCGACAACTGTAAAGTAAGTCCGAATTAATTCTGTGTTTCTGCCCTGAAACCCATCCTCTCTAAATACACCAGCTCCTCTGCTGCCATCTGGTGTTATTTTATCATACTGCAACAATAACAGTTATTGTAAATAAAATACACAAAAGCAACTTTTATAGTTACAAAAATAATTGTAGTTTTGGACTGCTGCACATTCAAAAATACATTTTGTTTCTTCGGTTATAAGTTTGAGTTTAATTAGTAAGAAGCTAAATTACATCCTTTTTAAAGATTCAAAATCAGCAACAGTAGATCATGTAGACCCACGCTGGCCACACCCTACATGGGCTGTAGGTCGCCAGAGTGGGCTGCATGAAAGAGATGGTCTAGTTTACAGAAGACGTATGTTTGTGTGACCACTCTCTGCCCCGTTACCACACTGATATGTTTTATATCACATGCCCTCACTTGACTTTTCATGGTATAACTTCACAAAACTCAGCAATGTTAAAACATTGTTTCACATAACAAAAAATGTATTAATAATTTGGGTTTAGCTCCAGTATCAGCACCAGTATCAGTGCTTGTRATTGCATTTGRTTTAACATCTTATTGCAGCATAAATTTCATCAGCTTTGTTATTTAACTTACATTTAAAATCAAATTATTCAGACCGTGATGTTCCAAATTTCCAAACACCACATAAAAAACATAAACTGCACCACAGGAAAAAAAAACTACACCTTCTTTGTGTTTTTTTTTTTTTTTTTTTTTGTTTAATTTGCTGACAGTGCAATGAATCCTGGGATATCGTGGGTTGTATGCTAAGTTTTTTGGGGTTTGTCARCAATGAGTAGGCGCCCACAAATTGAAACAGACTATAGCTCAGGACAGTGAAGTAATCAGCCAACAAACGCTCCTTACATCAGTCTTTATAAAGTAAAAGAAATTAACTAAATGACACACACGTTCAGAGGGAAACAGTTACAGAATCAAACATAAATATAACACTACAGGCTTTTCTAGGAGAAGAAACTACAAGTATTTTTTTTACAATATGTTACATTTTACAAGCTTTTACAACCTAAATGAGAAAGTCTGTTAAAACTAACAGAAAAACCAAAAGAAAAACTGAACAGAACTTTCTCGCTGCTTCATATTGCTGTGTTTAAACTGGCTTCATAAAATGTTTCGCTCTCATCATGATTCAACATACAGATCCTGCCTCCGTCCCACGAGTGCCGCAGGAAGCAGGACGAGTGCGACCTGGCAGAGTACTGTGACGGGAAGAGTGCCACCTGTCCCGAGGAYGTGTTTGCTGTGAACGGGCTCCCCTGTGACAGAGGCCGAGGTTACTGCTACRACGGCCTGTGTCCCCAGAGGTCCACCCAGTGCATCAAGCTCTATGGAACGTGTACGTGTTCTCCTCCATCTCAGGCCATCCACACGTTCATGTTTTACAGTTTGAAAAATGTACGTGACTGGCTGTGACCTTTGCCCCCAGCTGCCACTGAGGCSCCTGCTGACTGCTACAACTACAACAAAAAAGGACTCTACTAYGGTTTCTGCAAACACCTCTCCAACAACCAGTTCATCCCCTGCCAGGCAGCGTTGGTCTCTCTTACTGTGTGATGACAGTTTCAGTGGAGTACTGCAGCAAAAGTCAAAACAAACTCTGCCTTTGTTCTTCAGGGATGTTTTGTGTGGGAAGCTCTTCTGCCAGGGCGGCAATGACAACCCCTCCTACGGTCGAATGGTTTCTGTCGGCTCCTGTAAGGCCGCTTTCTTTGAYGATTACACCAAAGACTACGGACAGGTAGATGAAGGGACGCCATGTGGAAATGGAAAGGTACGTTTACTCATACTASAACTTTAGTTTCATTACCATAACCTCAAAATACCATTTGTTGCTGTATTAAAGCATTCTGTGTGTTTGGTTTTATTTTTTTAAAGGTGTGCCGCCAGAATCAGTGCATGACACTTGAGGCGGCCTACAGAAACACAAACTGCTCTGATAAATGCCCTGGTTTTGCTGTGAGTAAATGCAAACACATGTGGTTTTATTGACTGCAAATTTTGATTGTTTAATTTAATTTAATTTAATTTAATTTGAATTTGAAGAAGTATAATCTACTTTTTCCAAGTTCTATTCTAATATGTTGCCTTTTTAAAAGCTTTTTAAAACATTATTCTTGTTTTCATGATTTTTTGGTAATGTTTAGATTTTGAATTTCCTTTATTTCTCAATAGCTGATATATGTCAGGAGTTATTACAGTTATATGTGTTAATAAACCAATCATGGTTGTTCATCTGACCTTCTAATAATCTAATTTCATAGTTTGGTAAAAACTACGGCGTCTCTTTATGTCCAACAACAGGATCTACCAATTCTGCAGTTTTTCCAATTATGCACACAAAAAATAGGTTCTGATTTAAAAACAAAACAAAACTGTCTATTTAAAACCAAGCCACCAGGCTCGCTTGGTCACAAACTACAAATTCAGTCAGGCTACAATGGAAATTTTATTGAATTGAATTTGATTTAAATTTTGTGTTTCCAGCAGTCCAGCAGTGTTGAAATACTACATCTGTATCTCACTGGGTTTTTTGATTGTTGGCAACTAATCACAGGCACAAGACTGTGAGACAAAATGCAACTTTTGTTGTTGCAGTGTAGTCCCACTGAATTCATGACATCATTCCAACTCATGAGGAAACTGAAAAACCAAATGTTGTGGAAACTTTCTTGTGAAATTCCAACATAGAACAACTTTCTCTTCTGGAGCCTAACTAAACACTGCATAGCAGTAGCATACATGACCCCTGCACATCACAAAGCACCAACGCACCAGAACTCAGAACTCACCTGAACAGATTTATTGTTTCCAGTGGGGGTCCGGAGGGACACCCCTTTGTCAGAGCTTAGCAACACATAAAATCTGACACTCCTACGTTGAATAATTTTTGAGTTATAAGCATTTTTGTAAGTCCAGACATCCCCTCTTTAGATGGAGCCCCCTCCTAAGGATGGGGTCTAAACTGCTGGCTGGTGCAGTGTAGGTCGGACACGTCTACATTCCTAATTTCTTGTTGATCGGTGCAGCTGTTTTTGTGCTACAGTTGACCAAAAATCACTGAAAAACTCAACAAAAATAAATAAGTAAATAAAATAAATGGAACAAAAACAACATGACCSCTGCTTCACGTTGTGTGCGGGGGGGGGGGCATGAGACAGCGAGTTTTCTACCATACCTTCCTGCCATTCTTCAGCCTCTACAGTTTCTGCCCATTTAGTATCAAAACCAGCACAGATCATATATCCCAGCTGAGACCTCTGAYAAGAGCAGGATCTGTGTGGTTTCAGGTGTGTAACCACAGGAGTGAGTGTCAGTGTGAGCCCGGCTGGTTGCCTCCTAGCTGCGACTCAAAGACTGAATCAGTCAAGTCACTTTCTACTGGTAAGTTCCATCAAAAGATGTTTTTTTTTTACACAAACCCTGCATCATGTTGCTGCACAGCCAACATGCTGTATCTGCAATCCTTTTCTGCAGGAGCAAGCATCGCCATCGCACTGGCGGTTACTCTAATAGTCCTTGGTGTCATTTTTGGTGTACTGGGCTTCATGTGGAAAAAACGACAACATCCCACCCTGCCGGTGTAAGCAATACTCACCCTAGAAGAGGTCGTAGTGTTTGTTGTTGTTTTGTTTGGCCACTTGCAGAATAAACCTGTGTTTTTGTGTCAGAGCACAGCCCCAGAGGAAACAGGCAGCACAGAGCAACTTCACTCCTCACCTGAACAAACACACAGAGATCAGTCAGCCCACACCTGACATACAGGTGAGGTGATGCAACGTGACGTCACGTCTGATTATACTGCTCTGCATGTTTCCTAAACCTGACTGATGTTTCAGGTACTAAAGCCCAAAGGAGCTCCACCTCCACCACCTCCAGCAGGGAACCGTCCCAAACCTTCAAATCAGAACTACATGGCTGCTCGTCAGGTGAAAACGTCTCTGCCTAATGCTTATTAGAACTTATAGTTCAGCTGACAAACAACAACAACCTGCTTAGTAAAATGTTCTGTGGTTTTTAAGATCTGTTTAAAACAAAAATCAAATGACTAAGAAGTACTTTACATTACTTTTTCTTCATTTGATTTGAATTTTAAAACAGATGTTGAAAAAAAACAGATGTTTGTTTTGTTTGCTGTTGTTTTTTCGAACCTCACATCACTCTCATGCTCACACAGAACCCATCCTGTATCATTAAACAGCTCACAAGACAAAACATAAACAAAACTACGTTTTTATTTGCCTCACATTGCATCAGTAGCACATAGGATTTAGATCACCAAGTATTATCATTTGTCATGTTACAAATGAAATCATTACTGCATGAAATCAAAAACACTCAACATAGTGACTGCTTAATCTTGCTTGAGTGAACAGATATATCAGTAAAAAAATAATGTGTGGAAGGTTAGTAGGTGAGAACAAGTCAAAATAAAGACTGTGGGAGCAACTCTGAGGTGTCACAAAGATCCCAGCTTTGGTGTTTCTTATCATTACACATGATGTCCTCATGCGTACAGGCTGCACATGGAACATGAAAACAWGTAACCTCATGTCTCAGAGTGCTGTTAACAAAGTAATAACCTGACCATTTTAAAGTGGGGCTCAGTGGAAAAGTTAAACCAAGGCTGTGAAGAATGGAATTACATAACTGTAAAATGATGATTGGCTCTAAGCTGTTATTAAAATTCACTTGTCAAGCATCAGAGTCTGACTTGAGGTGAAATGCGGCAGGACTGATTTAAATTTCATGTTCAAGAATATTCTCTGAGAAATGTCAAGTGAAAATTGTTAAAAATCTAAACACAAGTTAAAATTCAACACAATAACTTTGTATTTGTTGTTTTCATGAAGAATGTATGAAATGATCCAGTATACCCATGTGTAAAATATAACTGGTTCTCATTGGACAGGAAAACAAGTGTAGTAATGAGCACATGTTCTAGGCTGTCTTAATCTCTATGTTGTATTGTTTATTAATATTTTGATACTAAACTACACAAAACTGAAGAGTCCATTGCTAACTGTTCAGCAGACCATGTTCATGAAAATGACACTTTTCGACCTTCTAAAGCCTTTAAAATGCAGGAGCTTCAGAGGGAATGGTTCTTTAGCCTTATAAAAAAACTCTCTCAAAAATGACACCAATAAGAAAAAAAAAGGCTACAACTACATTAGCTAAAGTGTAAAAGTTCAATTAGTGTAGCATTCATTCACAACAGAATTTAGAATTTGAAAAAAAAATAAAAATTTCTGAAAAAATATCAAAACATAGATTAGTTATTAGCCTATAACTTCAACAGTTTAAAAATATTAAACATTTATCTCAGTTATCATAATCAGTTTGTTGCTTACCCCTATAACAACTTAGTTTAAAAAATAATTGTAAAAACAAAACATTAAATGTTACTTTCCTCAGCTGAGTTGATAATTGTCTGTTGCTATCGTCACTCCATTCATGACTCATTTTGATGAACAGTAGTGATCTATGAACCTTTTCTTTTACAGTCATAAATTAATTACTTTGTAAATACGCTACACATTCTCACTCCCAACTCGTCACATATTGACGTTTAAGGTAAGGTTCCCTCTGCGTCTTATTTGGACGCAGAAGGTACCCCCCTCGCGTCACTCCTTGACGCCCACGGCTTTTCCGGGTTGCGCCACCAGGGGGCTTTGGGGCGGGGGTCTGAGGTTAACATGAGGGATCGGGTTTAATGGTTAAGTTTAGGTACTGGGATCAGGGGTAGGATGTCCATGGTGAATATTAGGTCATTTTACGCTTTAGAACATGTTCACCTGAATTTCGTACATTTTCTAAAAATGGTTAATTTTACCTAMTAGGGTCAGGGACAGGATGTCTAAAGTGAACTAAGGTAATTTCAGGCTTTGGAACGGTCGTTTTTGCGCATTTTATACGCTTTCTGAACATATGACAACAGCTTCCGCCCCATCTCGTCAGTAACTGACGTGAGGGGGGTACCCCGCGCGTCAAAATCGGACGTAGAGGGAACCTTGCAAAACGTCAATATGTGACGAGTTGGGAGTGAGAATGGGTTGAAATACAACATACATGGTAAGTTACAGTAAATTATATGTAGTTAGTAAATACATTGTAAATTTACTAGTTTTTACTAATATTGCAAAATACTACAAAATTAAAACAAATTTTTGTGTGTAATTACTAATATGGTTTATTAAAACCTCATTACCCACTATTTACCAACAGATGAAGTAAATTGTTTTACCATGCAATTACAGCTAGTTAGTGGGTAATTGCACTAAAATAATGGTTTAACTATCCCTAATTTACTTATTATTTACCTATGAATGACACAGTAAATTCTCAGATACATAATACCAGGTACATTATGTATGAAGACCTTTAAGCAGACGAGGAAGAACTTTGACTTCTTAGATTTTAAGCAGTTATTGCCTCAACAAAGTCACACAGACTTGTACAATATTTTAATTGAACCTGTGTGTAAACTAGCAGCAATAAATTACAGCATCATTGCCAAGTAATACACAAAATAGTACCCAGTACGTAAAGAGAAACTTAACTGTAAAAGAAAGCCAGTCTGGTTTCTAAGAGTTTGAACAGTTATAACCAATCAGATCTCAGCTTCATAACATATCAAGTAAACAACATTTGAACCGATAATAAGCAAACAAAATACACACAAAATATCAAGTTTTCTTCTCTTTTATTCTTGTCTTTCACTTGTCACTCATTGCACAAGTCACTTCAAAGTTCTTCCAGTTTCTTTTCAGTGCCCTTAAATTCAAAGGGGATGTTGATCTTTCTGACTTGGACTGGTACGAGGTGTGTGATATGGTTCAGTCCCATCACCCATCTATCAGAATGATGGTTGTTGCGGCTTCAAATGTAGTTTCATGAAGGACCTGGAATCTTCTCATGGATCTGGACTCTCGCTCATCGATGGGGTTTCTCAATCTGAACTTGTGACAAAAGAAAACAACAACCTGCATGTGGCAGGGAAAAATCTCTGAATATTGTACAATATTCTTATCACATAAAACATTTCTCTCCATTGTGTAAATTATCAGATTCAGCTAAAAGACCATGAATCACTTGCTATTTGACAGGTTAATATTAACACRACTGTAATAAAAAGGGTTATGTAGAGGGGTGCAGTGGTTTTGTTATGAAGGGCTAGGTTGGTTAGAACCCCAAGTGCAGAACTGAAATGATATTGGCAAAAAAATGTGCAAAAGGGTTTTATTAAACAAAATCAAAAAGCTGGCGTAGCAGCAAACAAGATACTAAGGTTTAGCTTGAGACAATGACAGAAACAGCACAACAGAGAACAGAGATCTGACAAAGACTGAGGACAAAGGACAGAATATAAAGGAGAAACTAATGAACACAAACAGGAAACACCTGGGGGAGAACCATGAGGATCAGGTGTGAGTGGGCGGGGCTGGAGCACAGGCAGACAGGAGGAAGAAAACAGATGACAAGACAGAAAACTAAAATAAAACATTAACACAGACACAAATCATAACAGCGTTTTTTATGTTTTAAAAATTTTCTTTCATTATTTTTGTTCTTCAGGCTCTGAGACCAGTTCCTCCTCCAAAGGTTTGACGTCAACAAAATGTCCACTATTCAGAAAGCAGGAGAAGATTTCTCTTTAGTCCTGAAAAAGAAGATAATCACACATCTGTTACTGCTGCACCATGGACAATGGCATGCCTATTCAACAAGTGGCCTGTGGGCAGGATACAGCTCTTTTTAAACTTTCTTTGGTCCCCACAAAGCTTCCAGAAGCCCAGTCTGAGTGTAATGCTAAATGTATGTAATAAGTGTTAATTATTTTATACACTGAGTGCCACTTTAGGCTAATAGAAGTCTACAAGAAAGGATTTTTGGAAAACCATGATGATGCAGAGGGGCTTGGTGGGTATGAGCACCTGCAAGCAGATGGCTGACCGACTTCTCTGTCTGATAAAGCTGCAGTACGAACAGAAGACAGCATGTAAGCAAAAACTGTTAACATGTCTCCTTTTAAGAGTGAAACTATATTTGGATATTTCAAAACAAATGGATTTTTTTCAACTTTGTTTACAGCAAACCAGTATTTACGTTTTAAAACATTTCTGTACATGAAACAACAAACTTATAGCCATTTTAGTCAAACTATGAAAATAATAATTTGAGCATTTCACCATGATATCACAAGGTGTCAAACTGGAAGCATGTTCTGTGACTGACACTCAGCTATTACCACAAAATTTAGATCAATACAACAGACTGAGTTAAAAGCTTTTCTGTATTGGATGATGTTGAGTTGGCAGCCATCATACATTGGACTAACTCCATCATTTATTTCCCTGAAAGTCCCATCAACCTTCATCCAGCAACTCCTGAGGTATTTTACTAACAAACGCAGAGTTGGCTCCAAATCATATATAATAATCATATCATATTATAATCTGACATTTAAAGCAAAAATGTGCTCAATCTTAGCCTACAAACATGTTTAACTGTAACTGGTTAACTCTGCCAATGTTATAATGACCAACACACACACACACACACACACACACACACACACACACACACACACACACACACACACACACACACACACACA